TATGCTCTGTTTTGTGAAAAGGCTGTTTCGATTACATTTACAAACGATCAGCTATGAAAGGGGAATTCGATTTTTTTTTTTTTTTTTTTTTTTTTGCTTATTTATACTTTAGTTTACTGACACGGGCTAAGTGCTCGTAATAAAGAACTGATGGTACGAGAAACGATTATAAGGAGTGACTGCAAACAGGGGAAACTGGGCTAGTTAGTACTTTGTCTCTAATTTTCTTATTTCTCCCCTTTTACAGTACAAAGAAGAAGAGAGTAAAGAGAAAGAACTACTGCCTACTGGAAGATACAACTAGGTTCCGCATTAACAACTTTGGTTTCCTAGTTAAGCCGTCTGCTAGCAGCATCCAGCGGTAGTTTGTGTATACTCAGCGGACAATAAGCACGCTGACCGATACATTCTACAATCTAATATGAGCCTTCTAGCGAAGCCTCGCAATCTCGCTCCTCAGCGACTGAATCTCTTCGTCTTTCCGGGCGATCTGTGCTTCGAGAATAGCCTTCCTCTCCTTGTGCTCTTTTCTCGTGATACTCAGCACTTCAAGTACCTTGTTCCTTAACGACTAGATCTCCGCGTCTTTTAGGGTGTTCTGAGCTTGATGAACAGGGATTCGAGCGCTGTGTTTCGTGCACTATATATAGGTGTGCGATCTCTGAGTCTTTGTAGAGGATTTCAACCTTGGCTGCTGCCAACTCCTCCTGCGCCTCGAGTTTCTCGGTCCTGAGTGTAACAACCTGGCCGTCTTTCTCAAGATATACCGCCTTAAGAGCCGCTGTCTCCTTCGGTTGCTTAAGTAGCTTCATTACCGCTGTAAAGTACCTGTCCTTGATCTTGTCGCCCTTCTGGAGACTCTCGGCCACCTTGAGCTTCTCAGCCTCAAGCGTAGCAGTCTGCCCATCCTTCTGAATACTCGCAGCTTCTAGACTAGCGACCTGGCGCAGACCATCAGCCACGCTCTCGCGGAGCCGAGCAAATTCGCCCCTCTTGAAGCGAAGCTTCCAGCCTTGGCGGCGGTTCTTGTCTTCTTGACGGGCCTTTCTCCTCCGCACGCCATAGCAGCTTGCCTTGGCTGCAGGTCTCGGCTTCGAGGTGTGTAACTGTTAGCCAGTATAACTCTAATAACGCACGGTTTCAGCCCTACAGTTAGTTGTTACACAACAAACTGACTCCCTTACACCACACGTTTATCTACTGCAAGGGAATAAGGATTTCAAAGAGAAACGTGTTCTTTTAGATAGCAACATATATACCTCCATAAGTAGCAGTAATCTAGAAGGAAAAGCGGCGTCTAACTCCTTGCGCCAGCTTAACAGTAACCCTCTTCTCTAGGCCGGCCGTACCCTGCTTTAGCTCCAGAACAAGTTTGTCTAGCTGCTGGATCTCGGAATGAAGCTTGTTGTTCGCTGTCTCGATGAGCTGGAGCTTTGATTGCAGTGTGCTGTTCGCTGTCTCGACACGCTTGACACGCGCATAAGCGTCTCTATCAACGCGGCCGAGTTCGGCGAGATGCGTCATCTCGAGCCGCAGAGTCGCGTCACGATGCTCTTCGCGCATCTGCGCGATACGAGAATCGGGTTCCTTCTGCTTCTATTGAGCTTGAGTATCGTGCTCTTCCTGCATCTGCTTAACCCGATTATTATGCTCTTCCCCCGTCCGCTTTATCTTCGCTACCAGATTATCCCGCTCCTTCTCCATCCGAAACCGCTGCTCTTCCAGCCCCAGCTTAGCACGAGCAACCCTCTCTCTAAGACGGCAGTTCTGAGCGTCTGTCTCCTTGACAAACCCCTGGCGCCTGCTGATCCTGTCTTCTGCGCCTTGGGTCTGGGCGTCGGACGCTATCTTCTCCTCTTCTAAGCGTTGAATTTTGGTTTGAAGACGGCGGCTTTCGTTCGCTGTTGCCTCGACTTGGATGCCGTATTAGGCGCTTTCGTATTAGGCTTGGGTAAGTCTCGCTTGTAGGGATTGGACTTGAGCTGAAAGCTTACTATTCTCCGAGGCGGACTCGAGGACCTATACACTGAGCCTAGACTCATTCATAGCTGCGCGGTCCCCTTTGGCTCGGAGGGCGCTGTTCGCTTCCTCTATCCGCTGGATTTTAGCACGATGCTCTTCCCTCGCCTACTCGTCGCGAGTACGGCATTCCTCCAGCCGCTGAACCTAAGCATAAAGATCCTAAATCCTCTCATCTTTCTACATAGCAAACCCGTTTAGTATCTCCGTGATAGGAGTAAAAGGATTAAGCCGGTTTAGTAGCGTACCTACAAAGTCGTAGAGCCTCGTGAAGGTGTCCTAAAGTATCGTGTCTACGTATTCCTATTCGGTATAGCGCTCGCTAACTATATTAGTAGGTGGTATCTGTTCGGTTTATCCCTAAACTGCGGGATCGAACGGAGGAAGAGGAGGTTAAATGCTAGAGCTCTAGTTTCCCCGAGGGGAAGAACCGGAGCCGAGATCCATCGTTGCAAGCATAGCTAAACGCTGGTGGTCGTGAATGTTTCTCGAACGTGTTCTCGTGATGTTACGTCCGAAAAGATTTATCTTTCGATAAATCTGCATGCTTTCGACGTGATTGAATTCCATAGCGGCAGCAGGATTGTTCGGGAAGGGAGCTCGTACGAGAAAGAATATCGCTTTGTCTGCCGGGTATTCTTTATTGGCAAGGCATTGTTATCGGTAATGTTTTTGTTGACTGCCTTTATTGCCAACGATAATGCATTAGAGAACAATGAAAAAGACTTGCTTTTGTTGCGAGTTGTAAAGCGTGGACCAGGTAGCGGCGCATTGTTCGCAATGTACCTCATGAGGTGATAGTAGTAGAGAGGCTGGCCATGCCGGAAAGAAGTCTGATGAGCTTGTAGGAGAGTTAAACTTGTAAAAGGTGTATACTTAAAGGGCAACAGTTTTTCGCCGGTAGTTACTCTTAGCTTTAAACAAGGTACCTAGAAGATAGTAAGATGAGATGGTACGCAGTAAAAGCGTACAAAACCGACATAAGTAATCTTGTAAAGTTCTAAACGTGCGCAAGCTAGTAGCTACTTCTTCCTATAGTAAGCTTTAAGAAAGCAGTATCGCGCCACTGCATTGATCGATACAGGAAGGAATAAGTGAAACGGTTTCTAAAAAAAAAAAAACAAATCCAGACGATATACAAGACAAGAGAGAGAGAGAAACATCTCCCCTAGTGCCTCTGAATCATGCAGGACAGCTCTTCCGGCACGTACCCATGGATCCATATTTAAGAGACATTTATTCGCGTCCCAGACTCTTGCGTTCCTACATTATGTTATATAGATCAACAGCGTAAACGCCGTACGCGCCAAAGAAAAAAAAGAAGCAACCGTAGAAACTTCCATTATCCAGCCCCGCGCTTCCTTACCCAGCGAGCTTAAAATTTAATATCGTGATGCGCAGGCAAACGAGACGAACTGGACGGATGGGTAGGCGGAGGTTTCGCGTAGATGTGCCGCTGTGGCTGCCGTACCTTCTTGCATGGCTGACTGATGGACGGAAGCGGGGACGGATGGATGTGCGCGCTGCGGTGGCGGTGGCGGTGTTGTGTGGCGCTCCCACCAGCAGCCAGCACGGAAAACACCTCACCCGGCACCGGCACCGGCACCGGGACGAAACTACCTATCCGCCCAAGATAGAAAGGAAACGCGCTAATGTTCTATGCCTAGCGTCGCTTGCTGCGTGCGCTGCGCTGCACTCGCGCTCGCCCTCCTACTCCCGCTCCCGAAGTCTGCACGAAAGACCAAGTAGTCACGTGCAACCCGACAGAGCCAGACCGTAGCGCTTCTGCGATATTACGTAGGGTTACACTGCATTTCAAGGAGCCAACAAATGCATACTGTACCCTTGTAGGTTGACGTGTCCTTAAAAGCACGTAAATTACCCCTCTTTAGCCCAACAAGATCTTGTCCGTCGCTCCTAAGCATCAGCAGTTAAGAGTTTTCAAAGCACCAAGCAGATGTATATGGCTAAAAAGAAGAGCAAAAAGAAGTGCCAAAATGGCATTGCTGCCGTTCAACTAGACAACGAACTTGCAGAACGTAGTTCACGACCGTCCCTCAGCAACGGAGGCCAGCCCGGATTAGATGGACCATGGAGTAGAGACGACGGTACTCTGTACCAACAGTAAGCTTTGCATACGCCTAGAGCTAGATAAAGCTGACAGAGTGATAACTCTCACAGAATCTTCAACTCAGACCAGTTCACCTTTTTCGTCGGCGATCAACGCAAACCCATCGTCGTTCACTCGGCCGCCATCGCACTCCAGTCCCAAGCTCTGCAGGCTCTCATCAATAGCTGCATGTCTGAAGCGCAGGCACGACCAGCAGAGATGACCGATATTAAAGAAGCAGACTTCATCCGCTTTTGTCAGTTCTCTTACACAGGCGACTACACCTCCCCACCACCGACTGTCGAGGAGCCACTCGAGCTGAAGGAACAGGAGACGAAAATGGCTGCTCTACAAGGCGAGCCTGTGCCTGAGCAAGTACAAGATAAGGTAACAGCACC